GAGCCCAACGTTTAGCTGATGCATTACAACACAACACAGTAACTTTCCTTGATTCTATATCTATACCAAATCTTTACTTCCACTTTTTCATCTAGACACTCACAAAACTAAATCTCTCGGTGAATAAAATCGGAGATGTTGGAGCACAATATTTGGTTGAAGCATTACAGCACAACACGGTAATTCTCATTATTTCTTTATCTATACCATGTGTGTACCTCCACCTTTTCATCTAGACACTCACCATATTGGAGCTCTGGGATTATGGGATCCGAGCAGATACGATGCAGGATATCAATCAATTCGTTACACGAAATGAAAGAGGAAAAAAACGTAAATGGTAATATTAAATGTATTTCCAAGACGAATAAATTGCTATTGATGAGCATGGAAACAATTTTATTTTCTTGTAATTTAAAAAAAGTGAATAAAAGTGCTTGTTTTCATATTTAATGTATATTGGGATGATAATGTTTGCTTATGATTTCTACTTTGTCGTGATGAGGATGATGGCTCACTGAAGTAATAAAGGAGCTTTTATGGAACTGTCTTATAGCTCTGTAAGACGTGTAGAACTGTGGTGAGCTTCTTTATGATCGCAGCAAATTCTAAAAACCGTCTCTAGTGCTGGTGAAGTATAGAAAGATTTGTATCCTAGTAGAAAGAGTCCGAAAGATTCTTGGCGACAATATTGAACCATAAGAGATTCTCTGTGATAATAGTAAAACCCTGAAAAGTTCTTTCTAGTAATGCGGAAGTAAGGAGCCGAGGGTGTGAGTGTGGGTTTGGGTGTCAAGTTGACTCTAGGATATAAAGGGAAGACATCCATACTCATACTCCTTTTTTTGTAATTTAAATTTCTTCTAAATGTTTGTACTATACCGAATAATACTACTGAATACGTTCTGCTTTTCTTACTAAATACAAATCAAAATTATATCTGAAATTACATTTAAATACAGTAGTTCTTTCGAATGCTGAGAGTAGCTACTGCTGATAATCATCACTTTTATCTAAGTAAAGAGAAGAAAATTTTATAGTTGATGAATACGAATCTCTCTAAATTAACTACGCTTAGTGTTACTGATATCTTTCATATTTAAACTATGAAAACAATATTTCACTACTCGAAAATATACTAATACTAGTTGAATCTTCACTTTATCACATGACGATCTATGCATTTTTTAATCACATTTTTATTGTATTTGTTATAGGATTGAGTCACAACAATTAGAAGAAATGAAAGCAATATCAAATTTCCACTTATCGATATGTGAATAGATCCATCTGTTATATTTCAATTAAATTGACTTAAGATCCACTCGGTATCTTAGAAATAAAAACACACACTTTTTTCATCATATTCTCTTATTCTAAAATCAACTATGGCTAATATCAATATTTACTGCTTCGTCGTTTTCATTCTTCTCAGGTAAATAACAATTAATTTTTATCACTATTTTTATTAACATTCGTTGATTTCATATTTTAGCATCACAGGTTTGATTTCTATTGTATTTTATATATTTATATATATTAGTTCATCACTTTCATAGTTCAAATCAAATCTCAAATATGTGAGAAAACACCTCAGTATGGGGAATGTTCCACAAACAGTGCATGTGGGTGTTTTCATATGATGGGTGCTGATGATAATACAGGCATTTGTGGTTTCCTGTGGCCAACATGCTCTCGTCTATTACGATGCAATTCCTCAGACAATTCCTGTCTTCAATCGAATACTATTTGTGTCCAACATCCGCAATGTGAAGATTTTCCACTTTGCTATCCGGTTACAATGATTGATCAAAACATGTGTCCACCAACGAAAAGTAAGTGGATCAGTGGATGATAAATGCAACATTCTTATCCACACTCTTAAGATATTTGAAACTATAAATTTCATTTGTTTTAGATAAGATCAATCTTAAATGGAAACAAAATGCCACTACTGTGGCTGGTGGAAATGGATACGGAGAATCATTAAATCAGCTCAATCTCCCTTTTGGGGTCTTTCTTGATAAAAACAAAAATATTTTCATTGCTGAGTATTGGAATGATCGTGTTGTTGAATGGAAACATAATGCAAAAGAAGGACAAATCATTGCAGGTGGGAATGGACAAGGAAGTCGAATAGATCAATTGAATTATCCAAGAAATGTGATTGTTGATGTACAAAGTCATTCGATCATCATTGCTGATGAAGGAAACAGACGAGTCATTCAATGGCTGAATCAAGATCAACAAGTTCTCATTGACAATATTGACTGTTACGGCTTGGCAATGGATAAATATGGATTTCTTTATGTTTCTGATCGTGAGAAGAATGAAGTGAGACGATGGAAAATGGGAGAATACAACAACGAAGGAATTGTAGTGGCAGGTGGAAATGGACAAGGAGATAAACTCAATCAACTCGATTGGCCTACTTTTATGTTTGTTGATGAAGATCAATCTATTTATGTATCAGAGAGACACAATAATCGTGTGACGAAATGGAGAAAAGATGCAAAAGAAGGAAGAGTTGTGGCTGGAGGAAATGGTTATGGAGAAAATTTCGATCAATTGTCTCATCCTTATGGAGTCATTGTTGATGATTTGGGTCAAATCTATGTGGCAGATAGTGAAAATGATCGAGTAATGCGTTGGTGTGAAGGAAAAGAAGAAGGTGAAATTGTTGTTGGAGGAAATGAGACAGGAGGTGAATCAAATCAATTATATGGTCCCACTGGCTTATCTTTTGACGATGAAAGAAATCTGTATGTTGTTGATGTATCGAATCATCGAATTCAAAAATTTGAAATAATTTTGTGAATGAAATTTTGGTTTTGAATAAAAGAAAAAAAATTTTATTCAATAAATGATCGAGAAATAAAAGGAAAAATAAAGTTTTATTGTTGAGAATCAATGAAAAAAATCGAATCAATTTTGGATAAGAAAATAACGAAGAAAAATCTTCTTGGTTTTTTATGAACCTTGAATTGAATTTGTAAGTTTTCATTAAAAAAATCGAATAAATGAATGTTAAATTTTTGTTGAATTTTTTAGGAGACAAGAAAAGAGAATATTTTTATGTTAATGAACAACAATGGATTGAAATTAAACAAAATTATTCACATTTATTTGATAAAATTATTTATTTAAATGATTCATTTGATTCAATTTTTTTACAATTAAAATCTTTAGTTAAAGATGTACAAATTAAACCTATGTAGGTTAACCGATGTTGGTTTTCTCCTAGAGAACGCTTTTAATAATAATAATAATAATAGATTTATTTCGCATTTTTCATGGAATTTTTCTTTTTTAATTTGAGAATACAGATATTCCAACAATAAGTGATTCAAATTTCTTATTAATTAAATAAAATAATCAGAGATTTAATAGAATACATAAAATATTTAAAGATGTATTATGATTTCGAAGAATTACTAGTAAATGCATAGTATAATCAAATTCTTCTGATTTCTATTAATATACAATAATACTTTTTCATTTTGTATTAGTTTAGAATTCTATGAACTAATTAATTTCGTTTATAAAAATTCTATAAATTGATTTATTATTTGATTTGAAAGAAAGGAAAACAATAGAAAGAATATTGTAAATGAATAGAATCTAATTTATATTTTATTATTAATCAATGAATAAAGAATATTGAAAAAACAAAAGATGATTGATTATGGTTTCTATAATAATAATATTTATTTAAATTGTATATCATTTTCAATTGCCAAAAAAAACATAAAAAGCATTAATTAATTTAATAACGTAAAAATTGTTGTATTCTTTGATTGAATTCATCCGCAACATATAAATTAAGTTGATTATCAAATGCAACTGAATAAGGATAGTATAATATAGTTGAACTATTTCCAAGTTGACCTGAAATTCCTGCAATAGTTGTTGCATTTGATTGATTAACTGAATACATTTGTATACGATGATTAAACAGATCTGCTACATACATATTACCCATTGGATCATAGGTAACACTTGCTGGATGATAAAAATGTATTGAATCAGTACCACTTAATCCTGTTGAACTTCCAGCAATTATTGTCCATTTAGAATCACCTATTTTCCATCGAACAATATTATTTGCACCATAATTTGTTATAATAAGACTATTCGTTGATGAATCGAAAAGAAGACCATTAGGATAATTCAGTTGTGTATTATTTATTCCTAAACCATTTCCACCAGCAATAATAATACCTGATAAATTACCAGGAAAATATTTCATAATACGATGATTATTAAAGTCAGATATATATATTGCATTAGAATTTGGGTCCATAGCAATACCATATGGACCAGCAAGCTGATTTAATCCAGAACCACCAGAACCTAGAAAATTTTATCAAAATTAATAATTTTTCTATAAGAAAAAAAAGGATTTATTAACCTGTAATACCCGCAATTTGTTTTCCATAAGTTGCACCATAGTTCCATAATTGAATTCGTTGATTACCTGAATCTGCTATATATAAATTATTATTTGTATCAATATAGAAATATGTCGGTCCATATAAATCGCTCATATTTGTCCCTGACACTGCATTTGATTGACCAGCTACTGTTATACAAGTTAAATTTCTGATATTACATTTTTGAACTCGATTGTTACTTCTATCACTAATATAAAGATCGCCAAATGAATCAAATACTAGGCCATAAGGGCTAGAAAGCTGATACGATGTATTTCCTCGTATGCCTGTCGTACCAAACAAAGTTGTAGCATTTGTATTCCATCGAAGATAAGCTTCAGGAGCTAAAATAACAACAATAAGAAAAAAAGTCTTCTATCTCAAAATGATATTTACAAGGTATATTTGTAGTTTTTCTCGTTTTTCTCATTATGATAATAAGAATAATAGCTAGAATTATACTAAGAAGTATAAGATAAAGAAGAGTAATAAAAGACATTAGTGCGCGTCGTCGTGAACATCGACAACAACATTCAATAAAATTCCTATGTTAAATATTATAAACTAATTAAGTTGTTATAATTGTATTTACTGTTTCTTTTTATTGTTGATTGAACGATGATGATCATTTATTGGATTTCTTAAAGCTTCTATTGTTCCCGACCGCTATATTTCGAAGATTATTGAATAGATCAAAACAAAAACAAAATATGGAATCTTACATTTTTGTCTACAATATGAATATTTGATGTCGATTGATTATTAATATTATTCTAGAAGATAAATATTTATATTCTAAAATAAAAGATTCGTTGAATTACTTGATGATCAATATTTCTTCCTGTTTCATTTGGAATATTAATACTTTTCGATGGATTTTGATGAAACTATAATAAATATATAAAATATTTTCTTTTTCGATAGGTTCATTCAATTTTTCTGTGTTAATTAGTTTGTTGTCTTTTCCACTATGAACAAACTTTTGAGAAAGTAAACTGTCACCAAAAGAAAAGATTATTTTTTTCATAGGTGACAAACTCATATTTTGCTATTTCGATGTTTCTTCACCAAATTAATTTAGAACGTACTATTATTGAAGAAACCAAAGAAAAGAAAACTAGACGTATGACAAACAATAAAGAATGACTTTGATCAGCTTCTTGTTCTTTTTTAATGAAAACAAATAGATTATTTTCATCGTATTTTGATAATACTTTAAATCTGTTTAGTCTTACCTGGAATTTTTGATGAACTGTTAAATGTGACAAATTCTATATAAATATGAAATAAAATAAAGACAAAATGGTTAAAGATCTTCTTACATTATTACTCTCCTTATTATCTTTATGATTTAGAATTGAACGAACACTTTGACGTGGTCTAACAGATACATGGATAATTGATGACCTTTGAGTATTTAATATTGTAGGTAAAGAATTCTAAATAATTATATCAATCAATAATAAAAACAAAAGAATGATCACAAAATTTACTTGATGGTTAAGAGAATTTCGATGACGAGGTAGTTTTTCAACACTTAATCTATTCGCTGGCATACGGCCTTCTTTCATTATTCGAGTTTCTGTTTTTTACAGACGCTCAGATCAACAATTTAATCACTAAAAGAAAGATTCGATATTGTTTTTTGTTGTATTTATATATTTGATCAACTTTGTTTTATTATGAGAGAAAAAATCAATTAATTTTTTTATAAATTCATAAATATGAATATGATTAGTTTATTGAGGGGCTTCGTTGGTATATTTCAGGTCAAGTTAAGTGAGCTTCAAATTTGGAGTTTACGAGTTTAAGTTTTTCGACAAATTAGTTTGTAACTAGGGTGTGGATGGGTGTGGTTGAAGGTAAGAGCTATACTCTTCACCTTAACCTACATCCACATCTATACCAGACCCACACCCACATCCACCCACATCATCAAGATGCTTTTTTCTCCTCTCCAACTTTACTGTAAAATCTTGTGATTTCTACAGTATTTATTAAATATGATAAATAGGTAAGAAACGTTTTCTTTTCTTTTTCTACATTTACAATAAAGTCATGTCCATTGCTATTAATAAGATTTATTAAATATAATAACTACGTAATAAAAGCTTTTTTCTCCTCTCCTCTCCAAGTTTACTGTAAAATCTTGTGGATTTATGGTATTTATTCAATATGCTTACTGGATAAGAAAAGCTTTTCTTTACTTTTTCAGTCTTTACAATAAAGTCGTGTCGATTTTTATGAGTTTTTAAATGATAGATGTGTAATTATAGTTATATTTCATAATGAATGACTTAGTCTATGATTGTTTTTTTTATTCTTTTATGTTATATATTGAATAAAGCAAATACTCATGAGATCAACAAAAAAAACTAAATCTTAATTATTTTGATAGAGATGTTGTATACTCATAGTAGAGAGGTGGAAAAAAGGATGGCTTTTATCATGATCGTTGTAATTTACATAGGAATGTCTCTTAGGTATGGCAAAAAAAAAGAAAAATATTTATCTCTTATATAAGTTAGACGATATAGAAGAAAACACTTTTATAACTGCGACAGAAGGTTTGAAATAAATTTTATCACGGTAAGGAAGTATGCATCATATAAACCTTCTCTCTTATAACTACTGAAAAAAATCCGTAAAAGATTTTTATTTTAGTCACAAGTTCTGATATAGGAAACAAAGACAGATCAGTGATATATTTTTAAAATATTTAGATTATTCAGCTTATTTTTTCAAATTAACAATCAACAATTCATAGTACATATATTCAGTGAGTACAACAACATATAACAACGATCAACGACATATTTCATATCCTCATCCATCGTAACGGTTATTGGCTCCTGGAATAAGTAGTATGTATAAACTTATATGATGTGTTTCGCTAGAAATAGTAATTTCGAGTTCTATTACGAACACTATTATGAAAAGCTCTCACAAAAGGATTGTATCGATCACGAATTGTCTCTTGATTAATAGTTTCATCATTTCTAAATTTTTGTTGTTTAGTGGCCAACATTCCTGGCCAAAACTCTGGATGTTGGAATAATTTAAAGGAATGCATTGAATGTTTTAATTTGTTCCCATCTGTGCCACCTTCAACCGACAAATGCGTTCTTCGTATAGAGCGAATAGCAACAATATTATTTATTCTTTTACTGATCGCATTATTAATAATTCCTTTCTTCTATATACGATTTCTGACGGATACAGAAAGTATCCAAACTATGCGTGTTTACCAACCTAGTCTCGATGTATATGAAGCATTGAATTCCAAATATGCAAAGACTCTGCTATGTTCATGCACACAAATTTCGATCAACTACAAAAACTTTATTGATATGGAATACTCATTGCATCAAGTATGTAATAGTATTTTTGTCAGTGATGCATGGATTCGTCATCTCGCTACGAACAATGGATATATATTTTATGGGGACGACTTTCGAATAACAGGCCCACATGCACTTCAAGCTTTACGCATGCTTTGTGAACTAGCTGATAATACGATTGCGAACAATTTCGTTCAGTTCTATTCAAGCCAATATTTCAGTAGATCTGCCATTCCTGAAGTAATGCTTCAAGAACAAATTGCATCAATACTAAAGCAGTTTCAGTCATTAATGACAGATAGGTTTTTATTATCTCTAAAGATGATTCGAGACACTACTCAAGTTAATGCGTTGTTTTCTGCACTACAAATAAACTACAAATTGTATGGAAGCAAAGATACGGGTAATGTATTCGTGACGGCAAATAATTACGATGGTTGCAGTTGTAGTCTTTCAGCTAATTGTATTCGTCAATCTTCAATTTACGATTATAATACTATGACAACATTATTCGATGTAACTGGTTTTTATACAGGATGTAATGTGGTTGAATCACTACTTCAATCAACTCTTGATTGCTTTTATAATCAAACCTGTATAGAAAAATTACAAAGTTCTTTACTATCATTGCCAATACCTGTATCAGCTCTTAACTCGTCATCATCAAGTCAGTATCTCAAAACGGACACTATTAACACTCTTCTTTCTGGTTTGATGATAGAACCCTTGATTTTAAAATTATGGTATTCAAGGTACTACGAAGCGTGTAGTCCAGAATACTGTTCTTATCAGACCACTGCTGACAATACGAAAATTAACACAATTTACATTGTCTTTCTAATGCTTTTTATTCTGGGTGGTCCATTATCCGTTTTAAAACTTCTCATATCGGCGTTGACAAGAATCATCGTATGCTGCGTTCGAAAATCGCTAAGACAGATCGTTCCAGAACCGTCGATCATTTACACATAATTACTACTATATAAAAAACAATTATGCTTCGCATGCTTTAAAAAAATTCTTAGTAGCATGAAACAGAGACATACAATTGACAGATCAAAGAGACAACAAAATATTGCTATATTTTTCTGTCAAATTAAAAGACTTTGCAACAAAAAAAATAAAAAAAAAGCTTCGCTTAGAAACAAAGCTATGTATTCTTTTCGAATAATCTGAAGATGAAGGTAGGTGTTGATATTATTTCATTTAGAATATCAACAATTATGTATCTAATTTAATTATTTTACCATAATGTTTATTATTTTTAGACTTTAATATAATATTGAATGATTAAGAGTAAAATCTTGAGAGTGCGGCTTTGAGTTAAGAGAAGAGGCACCTACATCCTGATCAGACGACAAACAAGTAAACACACTACTTTTTTCCATATGATTCTCCCTCCCAGCGAGGGAAAATCCAGTCACATGTATATAAGTGGACTCTTAGAATATTTTTTCTCTCTATCTCCTTCTATATATATGTACACATATATTACCATTAACACTTTGTATTTCAGATAGATTCAAAATGAACCAAGTAAGTTTTGAATGAAAATAAAATTTATAAAATTTTATTTTCTTAGGAATCAGCAACACCAGCACCCGAATCAGCAGCACCAGTAGAAAAATGGGCAAGTCAAAAACGATAGAGAAAATAATACATACTCATATTTCATATCTTTTAGAGGGCGATTCAAATAGCACCATCATCCACCCTTTTTTCCCGCAAATATACCGACAAATTAATAGCGGGACGAAGTTCTATCAAGGTGATGTACAGCAATGGTGGTTATTACGTAACCCAGGTCGATGATTCCTGAAGTAGTATTCCATGAATTTCTGACAAAAACCTTCCGGAAAATGCCAAGAATTTGACCTTGGAATCGGTTCCAGTCACTGGATCCGTTCAATGGGAATACTGCTTCCATAAAATCTCCGGAACACTACGAAACCGGCCGTTTTCGTGCCAGATTGTTCGACCTGGGAAGTAACATAACCTTTCTTTATAGAACGTTCTATCCGTTATTTTCTTCTTTTTTCTCTTTTAGTGGTACCACTGCGACTGTGCATCATCACCATCAGGCTGCAACCATTAATTGACTATCAACATCCCTCGTCCGTCGTCCGTCCTATTATCTTTTTTTTTGTTCTAACAGCAAGATCAGAAAAAAGATGAAAATCTTCTTTTTCGTGATTCTTGTTTTGTTTTAATAAAATTGGTTTTCATCGAAATATGTCGTTTTATTATTTTTTACAAAGCTGATTATCATCAATGAGGAGAAGAATTGTAATTCGAAAGTCTCTCATTGTATTATTTCTAATAGGAATGATGATATAAATACTGATTATGTAATAGCAATATAAATAATAGTACAGTTCACTGCAAAAAGTATTTACTAATTACTGGAATGCTCTTAATGTAATGAATAACACTACGTCTTCCCTTATAAAGCTTATCACAAGGGGAGTACGAGTATTGTTAATCTAGCATATAAATGTAATCAAAAATTCTGGTTTGCTTCTCAATGAAATAGTATTCATTCATTTTAACAAATTCTTTGTTACATAGTTATTTTGAAAAACAAATAATAATAGTTGAAATTGTTCCTAGCGAAAAAAATTAGTCTTATCTCATATGTCATGATTTAACGTGAGATTGTTACTTTGTTTCACATGCAATCATTAGTTAATGGGAAGTGAGCATGATTATAGTTATAGTTCCTATCATCAGAATCAACGTCTATTTATTTTATAATTGAGTAAGTACGAACAATTAATTCAATTGCTATTGTCAAATTATCATTTTGTCCATCAGAATATGATTGATGCGTCAAAGCTGTCATAAATACTTGACATTGGAATAAAAAATCAAGATTCAGACAAGAGACATTTACACATGAAAGTGAATAAGAATCTACATTTATTAGCAGCTGTCATTTTTTTTGAAATAGAGGCACTTATAGCTGAAGATAGATACTATATTACTGTAACACATTACATAAAGAATATTTTTTATTGCTTATAAATAAAATGTATTGGAACAAAAGACATCAGCATTTTTATTCTGAATCTGACGCCAGAATATTATAGATCGTCTTGAATTTTCCTCATGATGATCTAGCAATCACGAGATAATATATATCCTTGAAAAGATAGTTTATGATATTACATAAATAATCTATAAAAATTATTCAAATCTTTGCATAATAGTTGATTAGGTTTTTTTTTATATATATTTCTTTTTCCCTTTGCTATATGATTATCAAGTGTATTATGATGCAATAGGAACAAATGAATACTAAATATAATGATGATTATGCAAATAGTCATTCATATTCAAAAACAGAAAAAAAAAGAATACTATCATCAACAATTGCGATATGTGTTGAGAGTTAAGTATCCAGTATAACCTATAAGATATGTCTATCCCATATATATATATATATTGATGTTAAACAAATCTGATTATATAGGGAAGTAAATAGAAGATACTTGTTTTGTTTGACATTCTCTGCAAGTCGATCAATGTCTTTAATCAAATCAATCATTTGTATATCTAAATTTTTGTTTGATGTAATTTATTTGTTTTAATATCATTGATACAAACATTTATTTATACAAGTAAACAGCAACGGGAAAATATAATAATAATAATAATAATAATGATAATGATAATAATAATAATAATAATAGTAAAAGCTGAAGATTGTATTGTAGAGTTATTGAATGAGAAAAAGAAAGAAGAGGAAGAAGCAGACAAGATAGACAAAAAAAACGAACAATAGATATTGAGATAAAGAATTAGACAACAGCCCCAAGAAAAAAAACAAACGATGTATATAATCACCGGTAGTGCTGTTAAGAATATACAACTTTTGTTTTTCTTCTAATAAGAGATGATTAAAAAAGATACTAATCTACATATGTATTTAAAATTCAATGTTCATTCATCATATGGATTTGTATGAACAATAACATATTTATCATTGTCCACATGTATACGTAATTTAGATTTATCCGATTGTAATGCACAACAGAAACAACAACTAAGTATTGTTGTAAATAAACTTGCTCCAATAGCAGCAACAGTTAACCAAAAAGCTAAACCTAAACGTTCAACATTAATAATCCATGGATTTAATGCAACAATAAATGCTTCTGTTTGTTCAAATTCATAGGTAAAAGCAGGTCGATGTGAACGCTCTTGTATCCATTCATATAAGAATATTCCTAGACCACCAGCACCACTTAAAAATGATGCAAAAGAAAATAAACTAACAAATGCAAATGGTATTGAATAAAATCGATTAATACAATTTATACAAAATAATATTAATAATGCCATAAATGTTAATAATGGTGCAGTAACAAATAAAAGAAGCATAATTAAATGACGTATACGTTTAGTATAATAATGAAAATCACGTGGTGAATTTGAATTTAATGGTATATAACGTGGTATACCATGATTATCAAGTGATATTGATTCCCACATACATTTCTCATTTTTCCAATAATAACGTGTTTGATTTGCTAGACGATTACAGCCATCTTCATCAATATAGGATGGACAATCAGGTATATTGTCACATTTTTTTACCTGAAAAATTTAAAAACAAGTTATAAAATTTTTCAAATAAAATCAAATACATACACAAGATTCTAATTCTTGACAATAAATAAATGAGTCATTACATGATTGAGGGGATACTATTGAATTTGATTGAATTGTATCTTCGAGATTTTTTTGTGACTTGATTGCTAATAAATTAAGCCATTTATAATCCAAACAATAACCAAATAAACTATATCGTGAACGAAATGCATGACGAACAAATTGTGATTCTAATTGAATACTTTTATTATTTGTTGGAATATTTTCTTGTTGTTTATTTGTTATATTATATTCATAAATTAATTTATTATCAATAAAATTCCAATGAGTACTTAAAAATGCATAACAATATAAACCAATTGATACGATCATTGGAAGAACAATATTAACAACGAGTATACTGACCTTCATTGTTGATCTATTTATCTGAAAAAAAATAATTTTTAAAGTACAAAGAAATTAAAAGAATATCACAATGATAGATGATAAGCAGAAAACAATGATCGATACACCCGTTGAGAGTATACTTTATTGATGATTGTGACATATCATCATTTCCATAGATGAGATTTATAGTCTTCTTTGTAGATATTTTTCTTCGATAGCTATAAAACATTAACCTTTTCCTTCTGTCTCTATTTCTCTCTTTCCCTCTCCCTCTCTCTCTCTCTCCCTCTCCCTCTCTCTCTCTCTCCCTTGCGTTTCTTATTCACATAAATACAATCATCGAATGATTTCTTTTCGTATGTGTTCAATAAATATACACTTCAATCAAGAGAAAAAGGCATCAGTAGAAGAAACACTACGCGTTATAATACTACTATTCCTGTCCAATCAAGCACCTAAACAAGAAAGACGAATAAATACCTACAATACGAGCGAATAATCGTGTATATACGTAGGCGTGCCTTGACCCCCACTGGCTGATCGTCATACACATACATACATACATACATATATTCATATAAAGTCGATTACGTATTCATCATTCAATATTAAAACGCCGGCACATACAAAATACAATGAATGGTTCATCTAATTTATTTGTGTGTGTATGTGCGCACAACCCTCAGAGACTTGTGTATACGTATACATATGTGTGTGTGTATGGGAGAGGTAATTTGATGCAGACTGACAAGAAATATAAAAACGAGAAAAAAGTGCGTGACCAAAAATCTCTTTGTCAATGATGAAAGATGGAAATATGAGAATGATTTATAGTGAATAATAGATATAATGAGTGTTCATCAAGCGAAATATCATATCCTTGAAAAAGTATATATGCTCATAAAAGCAGTGTTAATTATTATTTTAAGACTATTGAAGAGCAATGAAGCAGTACACATAAAACAAAAGAAAAATGCCGTTAATAATAAATATGATAACATAAAAAATAAACCGCATAGAGATACATACTGATAGCTACAGATAGGCAGAAGTAGAAGAAAAAAAAGAAGAAGAAAAAGCGAGTAACCAGCTGCAAAAGCATCAGAGAATGAGTGACTGATGAAAGAGAGAGAGAGAGAGGGAAGAAAAGAATCAGATAAAAATATTAATCGAAACTATGTGAATAGGAATTGACATATATGCTAGTTATAAGATAATTTTATCATAATGTTTCAACTAGTACATATCTTTTTCTTTTTACCCGCCTAGAGAATTATGTTATTAGATTAATTAGAATTACAATGACTAATATCATTTATTGATATCAAGACTAATCAAAAAGAAATATTTACCTTTTGGTTATTTAAACAAAAAAATTAGCAGATGTTCATCATAGAAAAATTTGATAAATCGTTGATAGAAAAAGTCAAAGCTTATCATTATCATTATTATAAGATTAATGCTAACCTTGATCATGTCATTCCAGACGCTGGGTAATTCTATGATCAATAGCATGTTAATGAGAATAATCTACATGATAGCAATTCAAGGAACATACCATGATACTCTTCGCACTATGCATATATATATATATATGCATTAAATCAGAGAATAAAGGTTAAATAGAAAAAAAGATTTATTCTAACA